TAAAACTTTAATTCTCTTGCCCTGATCCCAGGCTTATCTAGACTTAAAACCCCAATTCCATTGTAACTTCAAATATTAATTATTGCAACATTAATTCTGTATTCTAGAAGGTTTATGTAAAAGCACCCGAACAGCAAAACATTCCTATTGTTTGTAACAGTTTATACAGAGTTAAAATCCCTCATACATTGTTGAAACATACCAGGGGATGACAGAAACAGGATCACGATGTTTCTAGTGAGAAAGCAGCAAGATGTAGGAATAAAAGTTGTATTTTCATAGTAAAAAAATTAACCAGGATTCACAGACCTGCATTTTTACTATTATTACAGAAACAAGCAGTTTAAAATAGGATGTGGATCAGAAAAGCATGTTGAAAACTAGGTCAGTGAAGGCTGCTGTAAGTCCAGCAAGTGAAATCCAGCATTTGATGCTCCCCTTCTCAAAAGGCCTCAACTACACACTCCCAGAGAGCTGCGTTCTAAATAAGAAACTGCTGCCCTGAAAGAAACAGGCTTGGGGCGTTCCTGTTTCCAGCTGCAACTGAGAGACCCCCAGACAGCAAGGATGACTGTGCTGGGAAATACCCCACCAGGATGTCACCTGCCCCGACCCTGCTATCAAAAAGGGATCCACTTAGGCCATCCAACCACGAGCACCAAAGAAAACCGGAAGAGCAGGATGAAAGCAGCACAGCGTCTGTTTAGGACTAGATGCGCTCGGGGCTGCTCTCAATTTTGGCTGGGGCTGCTGCACCCCCACTCCTATTTGGTAAGCTTGTTGGCTTATAAATAGCTTCCTAAGTACCAAAAGGATGTTATCTTGCGAATACACAAGTACAGAAAACCATTTCAGATAGACCCTTTCACAGGGTACAAGGATGAATAAGCTTAAGCAGGACAAGTAAGGATAAATTGGATGAGAACAAAACTTGTTCTTCATTCCAGCAACATTTGAAACGTCTATAAACTTCCTTCTCTGGCTTCTTCAACCTAAGACAATTCTTTCTTGCATGTGAGTAAGCCAACTGAATTCCACCCCTACCACCCTGCAAATAAACTCCCCCAGGTCTCCAAGAACGATGATAAAACCCACCGTTTCAGGGGACAATCCAACTTAGAATAGGACTCAGGCTGCAAGAGGCTGTACGCTTTCCTGGGAAGTGTGGGACACACCAGGCACAGCCAGGCACACCCTCTCAGGAGAGGTACCACTGACCTGTTTTGGTGGTGGAGGGTTGGGCTGAGGCAGGAAAGGGGAAAAGCTCTGTGAGCATAATCTCTGTTTCAAATCTGGTTCTGCTGTAAAAACAATTCCTGTATAGAAGCTGCTCGTTGCACAGATGAAATACCACTTTTTCCTATTTTTACTTTGCTAGCACCATGAGTCATCATCCACATTTCAAAACTGCTTCATGAATCACACAATTCTTGCAAATTAAGCTGTGGCTACAGCTGGTTTCCAGTAGGACAATGCCCAACTCCCAATCTATTACCAAGCTGATTGCGTTCCGAGTTACTATGGAAAGGCACAAGTCATGTCCTTTACTGTAGAAAGCTCCAAATGGGACATACTCAAACATGGAGCGTGGCTCAATTCTGCAATCACAGCTTTCTTGCAAAAGACAAAGCCTGCTTGTTTAAATTAAGCAGTAAAAAAAAGTGCCCAAACGTACCCATTCAGAGGTCCTCCATCATTGACTACGTTGAGGTGGGCCAGCTGCCTCTTCAGGTGAAGTTTGTAGCTTGCGTTAATTCTTAAAAACAACATCTAGAAGAAACCACAGAACCAAAGTAAGGAACCATCCCCACTGCTGCCTACCACGAGGAAATACACTGTGAACACCTTAAATCACTAACCTTCGGTTTCGGTTTTGCAGTTCATGTGATTTTCCGTGTGGCCCCCCCCCCCCCCCCCCCGCCTCCTAATCTTTCTGGCCATATACAATTTATAACACACAGGACAGTGTTATAAATACATATAGGTGTATACACCCTTGCTTATTTGTTACGTGTTGTACTTGGAGGACACATTCTTTGGAGCATAAATTTTTCTTCCCTGCTGTCTGAAGTATCTAGCAACTTGTGCTAAGACTAGAAGATAAATCTTTTTCCTGTACTATAACCACTTAAAGTCTTTTTCCCAAGAGAAAGCGTGAAAAACAGTTTGAAGGGACCATTTAATTTAGCGTAAAGGAGAAACGATGACTTAGTGCATTCAGTGACTGTATCACTCCTTCCTGTCCTTAGATTTACAACTCTGCAGTAGCAGTTACAGCAGCAAAATACTGAAAAAGCACATCTGGTACAATTTGGCTGCATAATACATTTAGGGACCTTCAGAAGCCACTAAGTTTGAACAGCATTACAGAATAATTTCCTAAAAGGGCTGTACTCGAGCCTCAAAGTGTTGCCATTTGTATAGAATTTCAGCACTGATTCCTGACTTGAAGATTCACCTCTCCAGACATTGAAATGCAGCTCAAAATGCTGGAATGAGTCAGTTCTTTCAGTCTCATCGTTCTCCCTGCACATCCAAACGCTTACTTCAGTTCAGACAGAGCTGTCTGCATGACTGCTGCCAATCTCTTTAATGTGTGGGTTTCACAAAGACTCAAAAAAGCATTTTTTTTCTCCCTAGATAAAGCAGAAGTCTCTCTTGTTACCGAGTTCATGTGCCTCTGCAAGGGAGGTGTTACATGAATCTCAGAAATAACATTCACCTGAGTTTGCTCCTCAGGAAGGAGATCATATATAGCTTCATGCATCTTTGCCATTTGCTTGCAGATATTCCTGAAGCATGCTGAAGGAACAGGAGCTTTCACTTCATACTGGAAATAAAAACACAACCAGTTACTCCTTCCTACCACTTTAAAACGGTTTACATAGAGTTTCCAACAGCGATCTGAAGCCCTGCGTTGCTAATGACACCATGTCAAGGTTCGTTTAGCATATCACACATTAAAACAGTCGCTGGGCATGATCTGATTCAGCCAAGCACTAGCATCATACAATCTTTTAGCACTTCTTGCTTTATAAGCAAACTAACATTCAAAGCAGGATGAAATCTGAGGGTTCCCCAACTTCAAACTACCGAAGGTGTGTTGATGAATTGCTTCTCTTTGCTCATTACTTTTTGTTGGTTTCCATTATCCTATGAATTATGCAGATGCAGAGAGAATTATCACTGCACCAGCTACGCAGGTGCACACGATGTGGCCCTCTAGCTGGCCCTCTCCTTCAGATTTGTGAGTCAATGACAGACAAGCAATTCTACCTCTGATAGATATGGCCCTCAAGTACTTAATGAGAGAAAACTACTCTAAGATCTCATGCACCCAAATTTCTGAAGAAACAAGGACAGGAAAGCATAAAGAAATGGAGGTTCCTGAAAACTGAATATTGGCCACAAAAAAG